ATCCTTAATGGTTTTCTTGCAGATCTGGCAATCATCTAACTCACTACATCTTACTATCTTGATGATCTCTTAAGTTCTCATTTCCATCCTCATGTTCTATGCTACAGTTATATAAAAATCTGTGGTTTCTTCAGCTATAACCAGAAGAGCCATTTGACAGACAGTAGCTGGAAAAAACAAAGTAATCTTAATAAAATGTCTCCATCTAAATAGCACTCTCTAATCTGAGTCTGCAGAAGTAAAGAAACTGAAGCTGAAACGTCAATTTTATATTCAATTAACTTTATAGATACACTTCATGGCACTCAAGTAAATTATTGCTACTGTTATTTTTAGTGCTCACAAAGATGTTTCCTATCATTCTGCTGAAGAGAAGAGGTGAAATGGATTTGTATGTGGACCCGTAGTAAGGCAGTTTTCCTTGAGAGCTTCCCTGGAAGCCCTACATCTATCCAATGCCTTCTTATCCTCAACCAGAGCTGACTGTACATTTGGAAAGCAGACACTCCTCACAAAGAGCATTAGACTGGGTATTTGTGCAGTCACAAATTCAAGAATCCCATTTTTAAACCCTTTAGTATATAGCCCCTCACAGATTTGCGCACAGAGTATAAGAGCTGTGGACTGCTCACATCATTTCCCTGCATCTTGCCCTTGTTATTCTGCATGCAGGACATTCAGTCTACATTACCTTGTGCTGGGGAGATCTAATCCCAATGTACATGGGCATGATGAAGCACTATTTAAATTAAAAAAAACAATGGAAGTTTCAAAAGATTAATACATTCTAATCGGCACTGGCCATAAATGAAGTGATAACAAAACTATGCTGGAGCAAAGTTGTTCTTTGAAATAGTGGAATACTCATAGAGTCATGTAACTATATGCCAAATACGACCATTTCCCCATTGTACAAGACACTATAACTATTATAGACTGAGCACAGCTTTAGAGTCCAACAGCATCTGCATTATATTTAAGAGTCTAAGATTTACCCTCCCTCCACAAACGTATGTGCATTTAACAACTAAATTGGCAGTTCAATATGAGTATCTGTACAGGAAGTTACGACTTATTTTTAACTTTGAACCATGAACATTGAAGAGACCTTGCAGACTTTATATTCTACATTTATTGCACAAAGCAAGTAAGGTTCCCATTTGAAACACATTGTTAATAATATATTACACACACACACACACACACACACACACACACACACACACACACACACACACACACACACACACACACACACACACACACACACACACACACACACACACACACACACACACACACACTTTCAACTTAATTTGCAGAATAATTGTTCAATTGTATAATTTATATGAACATGCAATATGTATTTAATGGTATTAATATAGGACATAATGCATATATGAATAATAATTATACATGATTACATTATAGTTGTTTTTTACACCAACATTTGGATAGATCTATTCAGGCCACCAATGCCTAATGATGTTTTTTGGTGGAGTCACTGCCAAAGAGACTAGATTTAGTTTCCACCAGAGGTAAAACTTCAGTTTTAAAAACTGTATGGTCCAAGAAAAGCCATGATGTATATATTAGTTTTTTCTTTTCATAGTTTTTCTGATTAATTTTGTAGCGTCACATGTAAAGCAAATTAACCTTGCCATTGGGGCTTAAAATACAGATAGGAAACACAGAAGTGAACTATCATTTTTTAATGACAATACTTTTGCAAGTCTGAAAGTATAATGCTAACAAAAGTACTGTAACTATATAGTGCGTGCCTTTGGTGTTCTACTATGCATACAGGGCATAAGGACAAAGGGACCAATTCTGCAAGGTAATAAGTAATCTTTACTCTTGACAGTAGTCATTGAGACTTTTCAAATTAAACTTGAATACTGGAAGACAAGTGGGTATTCTGTATAAATTCAGGCTGAGAAACTGAAAAGGAGGTTCTCAATAGTTCAGAAGAATGCATAACTGCAGGCAAATTTTTGTTGTAAAATTTGTTTCCCTTCAATAAAATCATAGTTTTTCAAGAGCCAAATTTTGATGTGTGAGAACTCACACATGAATTTTCCCACTGATTTAAAAAGGGCTACTAACATAAATAGGGGATTGTAGAATCAGGCCTAAACTGAATAAAGAACCAGTCATGCTTGACCTGATAAGAAAGGCATTTAAGACTTAAACTTGAGACGTGTGGCTGCTTTGACCCCAAAGTAGTACAGCACTTTAGTGCATAAAGGGTTTCAGTAAAATCCTTCACTGTAAAGAGCTCAGTTCTTTGCCTTGTTTCATTAGAGGAGAGAAAAGAAATGGGTCTAAATTTCCAGTACTGTTTATTTATATTCAGAGGGCCAAAGCTGTCAATTACTGTGGCTTGAATAAGTGCAAGGGAAGGGAGAATTTGAGCTAGACAGTCCACCTGTCCTTTGTAAACCAAATCCCAATGAAATCAATGTTAGTCTTTCCAATATCTTCAGATTTTGAATCAGGACTTTAAAGCTAATGAAGAAAATGAAATAAAAGTATAACATTTTAGAACACAAATGAAATCGGGTATGTTCCTCCCTGCTGATTGCTCCATACCTCTGCAAAGGTCCTAGTCTCAATACAGGATATTGTGCGAGTGTTAGGAAGGAAAAAGAAATGTAATCTCCCTTTAAAAATGAAGAGCATGATCCCTCTGACTTCAACGGCAGTTTGGCCACAGACTTTGAAAGCTTGGACCACTTATATAGCAAATCGGAAGAAAAAAGGATGGGATTAAAAATTGTCCATGTAACTCATGTTATCATTCAATTTACATATTTAAACTTTTTTCAAGTGAAATTTTACATACCAGCCTTCAAAAAAAAAGTTATTTTGGAACCAGAGTAACTTTTTAAAAACACCTGCTAGCTGTTCCCCAAAATAACTTTCAGGTTTTTTTTCAAGACATTAGATCAAATTTTTCATTGAGCTACACCAACAGAACCACAATGGCTGGAAAATAGAAAGGTAACAGAGAGTAACTATTTACCTCTTTGATTTCATGGACATTACTACTATTTTTAGGAGAAACAAAGCCTGAAAGGTTTATAAAGTACAATTTGGGATTTTAGAAGATTTTCCAACTCAGTTCAAAACTGCAGTAGATATTTATTTTAATTAGTTCAGCAATTTTGATTAACCTAAACTGGTTTTAAATCTTTTATTCCAAGTTGTTTTAAATATTCATAAGGCTTCTCTCCAAGCCATTCCCCCCTCCCCTGGAAGAAAACCGTCAAAATATAAATATATTGATGTCTCAAACTTCCTTATTTCTGTCTTTTATCGGTCTCAAGCTCAACAGGGCTGAGAAGGAGAAGTTGTTACAGTTCCTGTTAAAGCACCCCCTCAAAGTGCTTTTGGACTGCAACAGTTTCTGACCATTTATCTCAGAGTTTGAGCTGAGTATGGGGTCTGCTCTAATGGCCACACCACAAAATCAGACCCCAAAGGTCCAGAACATACAAGTCTTCTGTGTATGGCTTGTGGGAGAATGCCCAAAATAAAGATTACTAACCCCAAGTGCAAATGATCATGTAAATGGCTCCTTGAATGAGGGGAAAAATATAATCTTACAAGTGGTAATTTTTTTCTTTAAAAAAAAAATCTACCTCTAACTAGCCTAATTAAGGAATATGACATTGGGCTTGATCTTATTCCCAGTGGAGTCAGTACAAGCTGTGCCTAAGAAGCACTGCTAGACTGGGCCTAAAAGATGATGTCACCATGCTTAAGTGTCCTGAAATAACATTGTGTCACTCCTTGTTTGATGCCAGCATAAGGCTCTCTATCAAAGATGTTACCAAAATTTGTTTTTTTTGTGTGTGTATATATATTTATGTATGTATGTATAGTGATTTAGGCCTCTTGTATCTAATATGCTTTGTCACCTCTAACGCTATTCTACAGTCTTTCTTGGAAAAAAAATAAGGAAGTTTGCTAAAAAAAGAAAGAAAAAGAAACAAAATGTAACTAATGACCTTTTGTCAGGCTTCAAGGGAGCAAACTGGCACACTGCAGTCACACTGCAATTAAATCACCCCTGCAAGTTCTGAACTTTGTTTTGTTTGAAGAGAGGACAGATGCACTCATTTGCTTCCATGCTCATTTCATTGCCCAAAGTTTCAAAACAGCTTTTTAAAGTGTTTTGCTTTCAAACCCACGAGCACATTTTCTGTTTTTGCGTGTGCCTTCCTAACCTGCATCTCCTTCTCCATGGATTTCATCTCATGTGGTTTTGGCCTGTTCACTTGTCCCAATGTCACTACTGCGTTCGCTGAATCACCGTAGGGTTTTGATTTGGTCAAAGGATCCCTTGGAGTTTCTCCCTATTATCTTCCCACCATTTTTTCCCCCCAAATAATACCTGAAAAATAATGGGGCGCACGGTTTGTCGAGAGGGTAGGAAGCCTGAAGCTGGCAGAAGGCCGATTTGGAGGGTAGCTGACTTGGAGGTGCATCTGTGGCGGAGGGCCAGAATCGGCGTGGACAGGGAGGGACTTTGGCAAGTCTGGTGGGCGACAGGCACTGAAATGGTGCCTCCAAAGGGAACGAGGGTGCCAAACCCTCTGAGAGGCTTGGGGGAGGGAGAAAGAGAGAGCGGCTGCAATGTTGCCATTGGGGGTCCCTGGTGTGTGGCCAGGACATGAAAACCCCCCCACATTTTTGCAGCTATCTAGTTGGTCTAATAAGACATATCGCCTCTTCCTCCAGAGTTTTGGATGCCTTTCCCTCTAGACAAGCAGCCCACACCCCAGGGCATGGGGAGGGCTGGGCAGGGTCCCGTCCCTTCAAGGAGCCCGGGGCGGGGCGGGGAGCGGCACGGATGAACCGGCCCGGGCGCCTGGAGGAGCCCAGGTCCCCCCCGAGCCGCGGGCATGGGTTTGGGTGCAGCGGGGAGCCCGCCCGGCCCCGCCTCAATCCTCCTGGGGTCCCCGCTACATTGCCTCCCCCTGCCCCGCTCTTACCTGGGCTCGGCTGAGGCGGGCGCGGGGCGAAGCTCCCGCCGCTGCGTCCCGGCCCCGCGCTCAGGGCGCCGGGAGACGCGGCTTCCTCGTTTCGCAGCCGCGGCCACTTCCTCCAGGCGGGCGCAGCTCGCACACTTCCTCCTGGGCACGGTCCGGCCCGGCCCGGCCTGCGGGAGGGCGCAGGGCTGCGGCGCCGGGGGTGGTGGCACCCCGGGGTGCCGCCTGCGTCCTGGGCGCGCCGGGGGAAGCGGGCCAGGGACTCGCGCACGGAGCTGTGCGCACACAGGCGCACACCTGCATACACACACACACACGCGCATTCGACATATGTTTACACACAAACGCATACACACATTTACACACACAGCCACACATGCGTACACACAAACACATACACACATCTACACACCCAACCACACATACACACACACATACACACACACAAACGCATACATACACACATCTACACACACAAACACATACCTTACACATACACACACGCATGCACATGCATACACACACGTGCACATGCATACATACACACACTGCACATATACACACAAACATATAGGCAGTCCTCGACTTATAACATTTCGAGTTACAACGTTTCGCACTGACAACATTTATAAATTAACGCCCTGTTTCAACTTTCTGATGTCAGTTTTGACTTTACAATGCTTGATCCAAAACGATGCCACACCAGTGAACAAGTTCACTGCGTCGCCCATCTCCCTGGAGAACACCTGTCCAAACTTTCTTGGACATTTTCTTCAAGAAAGCAGACAAGACTCCAAGAAAACCTGCAGCCAAGACTCCTGAGAAGACTCCAGCCAAGAACCCTTCAAAAAGTCCAGCAAAGTCACCTCAAAGAATTCCTTCCAAATCAATCTGATTGCTATTTACAATATAAATACATTAATGTAGCTATATTCCTCATCTATAATTGATCGAGTACAAAATGCTGGGATATTTTTAGTGAAAATAGGGTATCGGGCCTTGGCTCGGGAATGAATCCCCATTTATAACATTGTTTCCTAAGGGAAAAACGGTTCTGAATTACGTTTC